TCAATTAAAGGAAAGTAAATTGAAATTAATATGAAAAAACATAGCTTGATAAAAGTAGAGATGAGGATGCACAATTTGAAGTGGAATCAATCTTCAATTACAATCTAAGAATGGTGGAGAGGTTTTTCTCTCCAAGGAACCCTTGGAGAGAGTGGAAGAAATGCCAAGAACTAATCTATAACTAACTCCTCATCTAGCTTGGTCCCTTGAGCCCTTAAAGCTTCAAAATCTTCATATTGCTTATTTTCACTCTGCGAACCAGTACTTGAACCCTCGTGCAACTTTTTGCCAGTTTCTGCACACCCCTATACGAGCATGCACTTTCTCGTGCAGTTTAACCTTGAAGATATTATTGGTCCCGGTGAGGGTTCGGGCACGAGTCTAGAGGAGGGGGTGAACAGACTTGTAGGATTATAAAAACTTTTATGAGAGGTTAAAGCAACCGAGAGGTGATAAGTGCTAAAATGTGTCAATTTTATGGGTAAATTGAGAGTCATATTTTGCTTAATTAGAGTCATTTAGGCCTATTATGTGTTTTGAATAGCTTAATTTGACTAAAGTTAGGCATAAGGACTAGTTTTGGTTACATTTGTTGTAAATAGCAAAATATTGACAATTTTAGCTTATTTCGGCGACAATTCGGAGGAATAATCATATCTGGAGCTAGGAGTGTCCGATCAAGGTGATTTAGGTGGTGATGGATCGGCATCGAAAAGATCGACAACTTTTATGAAGACCACAAAGTCCAATTCGGACGTTTAAGCAGTCAAAATCAGCGAAGAAAACGTTAGGAGACCTAGTCACGCGAGGCGTCACGCGTAAATGGAAAATAACATGGTGTTGGCGAGAATTTAAGGCAGAAAATTCAGATTTGATTCATTCTCCACTTCATTCACCTTTTAACTTTCTCTCACTAGGTTTTTATGTTAGATTAGGTTAGAATTATCTTTAGCTTCTCTCTAGAAATTAGCTCTCAAATACTCTCCATTTTGTAAGAAGAATAAGGGTATCTTCAAGCTCATCTTGGTGGATCTTCATCTTCACTTGATTTTTTTTGTAGTTTTGACATTACTTTGACATTAAAAAGTGGGTAATCTCTTTAGATCTATTCTTAAATTGCTTAATATGATGATTATGCCTATTTTGTGTATGTTGAGATTATTGAACATGAATGTGAGTAGCTAAATTTATAGGGATTAGGATTGTTGTGTAGATTGTATTTGTGATGATTAGCTTGATTTGATTTGTGATATTGTGGTGATTGAATGTTGTTGGCATGAATGTCCTGTTGGAAGATGAATGTTTATAATGACTCTTGTATGTGAGTGCACCACATGCTTGTAGGTTTAGTAAGGCTTATGTTGTCAAGAGGTTGAGACATAATCCTAGACTTCTTCTCTTGCAATTCCTGTCCTAGATTCGATTGGGCAAGGCCCGGAAAGGAATGTAGTTAAGGTGTTTGTTAAAATGCCTTGCAGAGGATGAGAATTCCTACGAGAGGCGTATAAGACCGAAATGGCTACGCACTAGCAAGCCATTCCTCTTTACTTGTGCCACAACATGCAATCAACACTACCACCCGCATTGCGGGGTTCGCTAATCACACATTGCAATTACCACACACAATCCTAATCCGTTTCTCTTTCTTTTGATTTATTTTCACTTATGCCTTTCTTACTCTTCCTTGTCTACTTCGTATCCGTTGATGCAACTCCGTTCCACACACATTCCTAGCTTCTTTAAGCACTTGTGTGCTTATGTTTGACAACGCAATACCAATTCCCAATCGTCCATCCTTTGAGAATGACACTCGGGGATTTCATATCTCCATTTACACTTTTACATCCCATCCTTCTACCTCACCGCTAAATTACACCTTGCCAAGATGTAACTTTATCTTCTCGTCAGAATGCACAATGGAAATTGTATTAGCCCATTTGAATTTCTTTGCACATAGTTTGTAGCCTTGTCAAAATTTAGGTTATGAATGTTATGCAATACATCAGTAAATAATTTAATAGAGAGAGAGTGTGACACCCCGGAAATTCATTCCCTAAAACCCGAATTAATTCCTTAATTAATTCCTTGTGGCTTTACAATTCTTATCCTAATTTCCCTTTGAAATTAGTTGAAGGACCTAGTTGACCAAATTCCATCGTTTTAATTTGGTCAATAAGTTGTACCTTGGGCTGAAGCCCTTGTACCCTAGACTTTGTCTTTCTCCTAACTAGTTTTGGGAGGAAGGGGTCCTTTTGGTTATCTCACACAATGCTAGCATAAAAACCCTACCCTAAAAAAGGAATCCAAATCATTTTTCAGGATTCCCCTTCTCTCTACATCTCTTTCTTACCCCCTACTCCTCATTCTCTCTAGGAAATCCTAGAGTTGATCTTCACAAGTTCTTCAAGAAATCTCAAGCCAAGATTCCAACTTTCCAACACTACAAGGCTAGGAATGGTAAGATCTGTCCTTCCCTACCTTTTCCTTACAAGATTCATCCATCTTTTCTCTAAATCTTTTTTCTACCTTGTGGGTTTTGGGAGTTTATAGAAGATCTAGTGGTAGGTGAAGTGCTAGGTTGATCTAGAGGAGCTTTGGTCTTGCTTTGAGGTTTAAGAAGGTGTTCTTGACCTACAAGAGGTAACCCATGCTACACAAAACCTATTTTCACTTGATAAGAATGATTATTAGCTTCTATGTGGTATTCTTGATGTGTTTGAGTGATTGATGCATGCTCTTGTGATAATGCATGTTTAGAGCTTGTATTTAGGGTTATTGAATGCTATTGTATGAGCTATTAATAGTTTCAAGTCATATCTTTGTTGTGCGGAAGATTTGGGGTCATTTGGACTTGAACTTCGCCTTGAAAGTGAATTTTCGCGAATGCTGATTTTTGGGCCCTGATGAACCTCGCGCGTACTACCACGGGTGGAGCCCTACCCGTGGCCCCACCCGCGGGGAACATATGTGTGGATTGTGAGGATTTGTTCCCCTTGATCCTTTCCTCTTGGTATTTGATGTTTTGACCTCCCGTTGTTGGATTATTGAGCTTTTGTGAGTCTTCTTGATGTTTCGTATGTCTAGAACGATGTGATAGGAATCTATGTTAGGATTTGGTGTCTTGAATCGTGCTAATGATCCAACCTTGTGATTCGTTGGATTGATCTTGAGTCCTTGTGGTTCATTGGAACTGTTTTGGTTTACCCGTTTGATATACATGTTAGTCTTGGTGTCATTGATGCTAGTATGTGTTGTTTGTCCCTTTCTATTGAGGATTGGAAACTCGTGTTTCCAATCATGTCGATATTGGATTGAGGTCCATTGTTGTTGTTGAGTATCGTTTCATGTCCTTCATTGAAACCCCTTGCATGGATCCCTTGATGTGATCCTGTGTGTATGATTATTCCTTGATTAAGCTATTGTTGAGCTTATCCGTTGTTGTACACACTTTGTGTGGAATCTAGGTGTTGTTGTATCTCTAGATTCCGTGTGTAGTTGGGATGATGGATTGATGCGATGAGATGATTGAGCTGGTAAAGTGGACAGTGTGGGGACTTATGTGTGAATTGATCCGGTAGTGGGTTTAAAGCTCCGGATTGCCATTTGAAAACTTATGGCTTATGGGCAACTTGGGAAACTTATCCCCGTTGCCAGAGATGGTAGCTAACCCGTTGAGCGTGGAATCTCAATAGGGGGTGTATACACTTAAAGTTGCTAGCTCTGCTTCCATTGGGCTGCGGTCCTTGTCATTGCAATGACACTAGCATGTGATCTGGGTCGTTGCGATGACTACGTGATACATGATTGATGATTTGGAGCACTCCACACTGATCCACTATGAATCGAGCCGTGGTGCTGACTCCACTGTATATGACTTGGTGTGATGGTGCCCTATGTGGACTTGGAACTCGTTATGGTGTGAATCTTGTCTTCCATTGCTTAAGAGCATGTCTATTGTGAATCCTTCGTTGTGTGTCGCATGTTGTACCTTGTTGTTGAGCTTGTTGCTTGTGGTTCTATTGCCTTGTTGAGTATGTTGGTCTTTGACCTTTGTTGTGAGTGATTAATGAGTCTATTGATGTTTCCTCTCTCAGCTTTAAAATGATATATACTGTATTCCCAGTTTCAAATGGTTTTGATTATATCTATGTATATTATGATACTTAACGCGTGTTGGTGGGTTACCAGCATTATTCACTGACCGAGTGTTTTCCCTTATCTTTTACAGGTTGAGTAGCTTTGGAGAGCGCGCTAGTGGCCTGTAGATAGCTTAGATCTCTTTCTTTAATAGTTGTTGACGCCTGTGAGCCTAAGTAGTTGATTTGTTAGACTGCTTTATTTGTAGTATCTGCCTGTGCACCTATGTTTGATATAGGTGTGGCATAGCACCCCCGTGTTTAGATGTTGCTTCCGTTGCTTAATGATTAATGTTTAGCTTTACGTCTCTTGTTTAAGCTTTTAAAATTTGTTGAAAATCGGGGGTGTTGCAGTTGGTATCAGAGCCTAGGTTTGAGCCTAGGATGTTAAGAGTTGAACTTTAAGAAGTTAAGTGTGATTTAAGACTCTAAGTTGACATCTAAGTACCTAAGTGTTAGGAATTAAGATGTTTAGGACGCGCGGTGAGGTTGTGAGTTCTCTTATCGTTTTCTGTTATGCTTCATGTGTTTTGTTCTTCTTCCAGCTTTGGTTCTTTTAAGTTAAGGCACCGGGTAAGGGTGCGGGCTTCTAAGTTTTTTCCCGTTATCGTGCTGTTTCTGTAGAAGTCAAGGATGGCACCATCGAGACGTCGTGCAAGGTCTTCAAAATCGGCCACCAACAATCAGCTAGTTCAAAGCCTGCATCAGCTGGCGCAGATCATCTAGACGCTGAGCAACGCCCTCCTCAACAATAGCCACCCTCCTCAGAATGGGAATCAGGACGTAGTATGCCAAGTCTCAAGTCTCCGTCCCCCGATCTTCGCCGGTGAAAAAGATCCCGCGGTGCTGGAAGAGTGAATCCGGATGTTTGACAAGATCTTCGAAGCGGTGGTTTGCCCGGAGGATTGCCAAGTAAAGTTGGCTACGTTCTACCTCAGGCAAGAAGCGGACTTGTGGTGGAAGTTTGAAAGACCAGCTTGTAAACAAGATCCGAAGTTCAGTTGGGAAAGCTTGAAGGATAAGCTACGTGAGCGGTTCTATCCCGCTCATGTCAAGGCGGCAAAGTATGAGGAGTTTCTCCACCTGAAGCAAGTGCCCTTGTTGGTGATGTAGTACCACAAGAAGTTTTTGGAGTTAGCCCATTTCGCCTCAGTTTTGGTACCTACCGAGGAGAGTAAAGTTGAGAAGTTTGTGGCCGGACTCAACTCCGAGGCTAGGAAAGCCTTGACTGTGTCGAAGCCCAAGACTCTCATTGAGGCCTACCTTTGTGCAGCCGACCTCTACAGGGTGCAGCAAGTCCAGAAAGAGACATGGAAGAGCCGTAAGAGGAGTTTTGAAAGAAGTGTTGCATCTGTGGTTATGAGTTTGTTAGTTACTGGTTCTGAATCAACAAGAAGTCTACAAAGAGACGGCTCTAAGAGTGGTAAAACTCCCCAGCCAATCCGGAACAACAAGGCTAAGGGAAGGCACTCCGGTTGCAAAAACTGTGGAAGTGGCCACCCCGGCGTGGACTGTCATGGGAAGCCGGTAGAGTGCTTTGCTTGTGGCAAGAAAGGTCATCGGTCCTTTGAGGTAATCTCATCACTTCTGCAAGCCCGAAACCAGTTGGTAGTGTGAGACCCCAGTCGGGAAGTAAGTTTCGAAGCGGAATCAACGGTGGACAAAGTGGAAGAAGCAGCCAGGACCCGTGTGCGAAGTCGAGACCTCGGCGAGGCAAGATCCACAGTCATGAGTCAGACACAAGTTGAAACCGATGAAGTAAGTGCTTGTACCTTTTTGCTGCGCCCTTTTTGCCTTTGTGTTCTTCCTTGCGTGCTAGCTTTGGTGTTAAGTGTTAAGACCTTAACTTCGGGTTTAGCTAGTTTAAGGGTCAACTCCGACCTTGGTTTTGTTGGAAGGGTTCGGTTGTGCTTTGTCGTGAGCGTTTCCCTCGAAAGTGGTAAAGTTGTTTGTTCTATCAGCACATGCAGGAAGTCCGATAAAGATCTTCATTTGAAGTCGTGCCAGGATTGAAGAAGAGATCTGTTAGTTGGTCAAAAAGGTCGTAAGCAGCTTGTCCAGTAGAAGGGATCGCCTGAAGTCGGGAACCTTTAACCCTCTTTAATCCGTTTTTCCCTCCTTTTCGTCGAACCAACCATCCTTCTTACCGAGAAACCCTCGTTGTTCTTCCCAAACCTTGTTCGTGCTGTAACACCCCAGATTTTCAAGACATTTTAAGCTTATATAATAAAGGTAATATCTCATTACATCCCAAAGTATATCATAAGTGTACGGGGTGCTATGCCACACCTGGGCTAGAGAACCCAGGTGCACAGGCTGTCTAACTAATATCCATTGAAATACAATGCATAATATGGCACGCAGGCCGAAAGGGAAGCTAATCTACTTCTATGCTCTAGTTCTAGCGCGCTCCAGTGCTCTAGTCCTCTGTGCCTGAAAGCCAAATATATCTGTTCAGCGAGAGATGCTGGTAACCCACTCCAACGTGTTGAAATACAATACATATAGAGATATATATAGATATACGAAAACCATTTTGAGCATGAAGATATATCCTACGGACTCTAGCTTTAAAAACCGGGAATGACTCGACAGATAAGGCCAGACACAAGCAACAGTTATAACGAGCATATGCAGTTCACAATAGGTAAGGCAGATGAGGTAAAGCATAAACAATGATCATAACCCAACATGGACAATCCCCAATATAAATCCCATAGTCACATCCCCCAAGACACTCGTAATCACAACTCGTCTATGTCACAACACATAACACACTTTGTTGGCGCCACAGGACCAATCGCATGCCCATACATGAGGGTCAGCGCATATAGCTCTGACACGGCCCCGCAGCACCCTGCCCCGTATCGCAACACGGAGGGGTCTATCGCAACCGACCGATGAACCGCAGCTCATCATAGTGTTTGATCGCAACCAAACAGTGGACCGCAGCCCAAGAGAATGTCATCTGACCGCAGCCAGGAAAAAGGACGAACCGCAGCTCGTGTTGAAACGTTTGATCGCAACCAAACGGTGGACCGCAGCCCAAGAGTATCAATCTGACCGCAGCCAGCTTTTTAACCGCAGCTCAGGATAACCAATCCGATCGCAACCGAATTGGGGTAATACACACACATAACACATAGCAAGCACATGCAACCCACATTACACATTGGGAAGGGGGAGAAAGCGTATAACAAAACCTATGCGTGATCCATCACATACTAAGAATAGTCCGAAGGGTTCATACTTCTTCCACCTAGGTCAACGGGATACCAATTAAGCTAGCATGCAATATAATAGACTCATAAACCTACGAACGGTACCCGAAATATCAAACTAGACATAGGCACGATAAACGGAGTCCGTTGGGACACCACGGGGAACGGGGGAACATCAAACGGGGAAGCCGGGATCCCGAGGTGGGATAATTTCCAGCGGGTAGCCGGTGGGTGGGGGCCACCCACCGGCTGCCCGCCGGACTTTACTGTTCCGGGCAGCGGGTCGCCGGCGGGCAGCTGCCCGCCCGCCGGCTACCCGCTGCCGGGCGGTGTTTCTCGGCCGTGGGTAGGTGGCGGGTCCCCTACCCCCCACCTACCCCCCACTGACTCTTTTTCACACAATAACGTCCCGGGAACCTTTGTGGAACCCGAAACCATGCTTAGACACCTTACAACGCAATTAACGACAACACGTAGACAATTAACGGATCAAATACGAGAAACGAATGGCACATAACCTATCATGCTTTTCTAGACATAATCAACACCCAAACATGCGATTTCCCCACCCCACAATCCAAGAATCATAACATGCGATACAACCTAGGGTTCTAATCACTTTTATATCAACAAGGATACGATTCGTCTTCTAATTGCAAGATTCGGGAAGAATAACACATAACCATCAAGAGCATCACACAATTATCAAGAACAACACATAATCATCAAGAACTCCATATAATCATCAAGAACACCATAATTATCAAGAATCTCCCAATATCAAGATTATCAAGATCCCTCATGGGATCATCACGTCAAGCATCAATAATAATCAACAGATCTCACCATTCACAATAATATGGGGGAAACCCTAAGGGGAATCATAACTATGAAAATAGGTTTTGTTGAGACATGGGTTACCTCTTAGCCTTAATTAATTCCTTGGCTATGAAGGATCTTTCTTTAAGCTTCCTTGCTTTCTTGATTTCTCCTAAGGGGATTCTTGGAGCTCTTTTGGGGTGGTGGGGTGTTATTCTTGTGGGAAGTTCTAGGTGCCTCCTAAGTCCCCTATTTATATATTTAGGAGTCCTAATTAGGAACTAATATTATAGGCTCGCTAATTCTATTCCTTTTGGAACTAAGGATTGGGTTTAGGGGTTGGGTTTATATATGAGGGCCCATGGACTATGGTGGCGCAAATTATGCTGTGCAACCGAATGCACCTTGCAAGGTGCATACGGTTGCAAAACGGCGCCGTTTTGGTTAAAAAAACGCGCGTCCCACTTAAAGGAGAAATCAGGTTCGATTCCGGCAATAGCATTTTTATATATCCAGAAATTCATAACTATATAACCACAATTTCATAACTATATATCCAGAATTTCATAACTATATATCCACAGTGAATGAATGAATTAAAAATCCACAATGAATGAATGAATGAAGTAAAAATCCACAATGAATGAATGAATGAAGTAAAAATCCACAATGAATGAACTAAATATCCACAATATATGATTGAACTAAATATCCACAATGAATGAACTAAATATCCATAAATTCATAACTATATAACCATAATTTCATAACTATATATCCAGAATTTCATAACTATATATCCACAGTGAATGAATGAAGTAAAAATCCACAATGAATGAATGAATGAAGTAAAAATCCACAATGAATGAATGAATGAAGTAAAAATCCACAATGAATGAACTAAATATCCACAATATATGATTGAACTAAATATCCACAATGAATGAACTAAATATCCATAAATTCATAACTATATAACCATAATTTCATAACTATATATCCACAATTTCATAACTATATATCCACAATAATGCTATTGCTGAGAGTCGAACCTTATTTTTTTTTTTTAAAGTGGGACGCGCGTTTTTAATCAAAACGACGTCGTTTTGAACCGTATGCACCATGCACATGGTACATTCGGTTGCACAGCATAACTATTGCTATGGTGGGTCTTTTTCCCTAATTAATCATTATAATTTATTCCTTCTCTTGGGCTATTGATTAATTAATTAAATGGTTTTAGGGGTCGTAACACGGGGTGTTACACTCTCCCCCCTTACAAGGGGCTTCGTCCCCGAAGCCCGGTGTTATAGTCTATCCTTTCACCCCTAGACACCTCGTAGCTCGGCCTCCTGATTAGGGTTGCGGCCTTACGTTTGTCTTGTCTTGGGGTAGGCTGAACTTTTGATGGTGTTGTGATAGAGAAGTTCCGGGTGTACCTCGGTTTCCTGCGCTGGAACTGGACGCCCCACGAGTGCCCAAGGCGGCCTCGATTGCTGCCACCCTCTGATCGAGTGCGCGTGTGGTGCGAATCAAGGATGAGAACCCTTTTTCCATGATTTTGTTCTGTCGGTTGAGTTGTGCGAGAATGCGCTCATTGACCGAACCCTCGTCCTGTCCCCTCGGGTCCCCTCCTGACCGTGGGTGCACTGACGGGTTAGGCCCGTCATCCTCCTCCTGTTCCTCATTTCCCTCCGAGCCCCCACAATCTTGCATGGCTCGCTTGAGCTTCTTGTTGGAGATGTCCAACCGGTCAACCAATTCTCTCCGCTCTTCCTCGGGTTTTTGGCAAATTTCTTCGAGGGTGAGGTAATGTCCCCCTTCGGTGTAGTAGATGTCATTGCGGCGAAGGTTTTGGGCATTGAAAACCATACCATTGGCGGTTTTGACCTCGGTGTGGCTTAGGTCCACCCCTTTCTTTTCCATGATCCAACTTAGGATCATCCCGTAGGGTAGACTAAGCCGGTTGTTTGTCTTGCAGAATTCCATGTGCTTTAGCATGAGTGCCGGCAGGTTGAACTTGATTTTATGTTTCAAGAGATAAGCAAAGGTGCACTCTAGGCTCCCTACGTCCTTGCTTTTATTATTGGTGGGCAAGAGGCTATCGGTTACAATCATAACCAATATCTTTTGTTCTGCCGATAGCCACTTCCGGTTTGGCCATGTGGCCGAGGTGAACCCGTCCTCCTTCCCGAGTAGGTACCCGAGGTAGTCCTTGTATCCCGTATTTTGGGTATCAATCCACCCCTTTCGGTCATAGTTAGACACACCCGTGGTGGTCAATTTCAAGAGCTTGGCCAAACGGCCTTCGGAAAACACAATTTCCTTGCCACGGACTTTGGTGGTGATTTCTACCTTGTCACCCCGTTTGGTGGCTACAAGGTGTTGATAGAACTCCTTCACCAATTCGGGGTACGTATCCCCTTTGATGGTGAGATACGTATCTAAAAGCCCTTGATGTTTGAGCATATCAACCAATTCCGGAGAGAATTGGTCGGGTTCAAGTGCTTTACCTCCGATCACGGTGTAATCGGCGTTGCTCCACTCCGGGGTGCGGGTTCCGAGGGGTTTCTTTGG